GCAGCAGCTCCTGGATGCGACGGAGGAGCCCAAGGAGGTGGAGAACAGCCCAACGCTGCAGAGCCTCCTGCCCCTCAGCCTCCCACCCCTGCCCCGCATGAAGATGCTGCAGTGAGGAGGGGTCCCCTGGCCCCTCCCCATCTTCTGCCACTCCCTCCCTGTTCCTGGGGGTCTCAGCACTCTGCTAGGTCAACGCCCCAGGGGGAGGCTGCCGTGGTGCCCACCACGGCCTCTCCTGGCACCTCCCTGGCTGAGCGTGGCCACTGGTATCTGCTGCTCTGTAAATATATTTATTTAAGTAAAGTTCTGCTGGCTTCAGCTGCAGCTCGTCTCATCTTTGCTGGGGAAGGGTGGTGGGAGTGGGGAGAGCTCAGTCCCTTGCCCTACTTGGCACCCTGAGGCTGTGCCAGCCGGTGGTGTAAGAATGTGCAAGGAGGGGACCTGTCGCAAGCCCTTCCCCAGGGACCTGCTGCCCTCATCCTCCTCCCTGCCACCCCAGCACCCTGGCTGGCATGCAGGGCTTGGCCCTTACCCTGGGCACAGGGCCAAGACCCCCTCCTGGCACTACAGGTAAGCCATGGGGGTGCAGAGGGGCTCCACCACCCCAAACCTGCGGGGGAATTGGCACAAAGCTTGGTCTTGCTCCATGTAAAGGGGTGAAAGGTGCCCCCCGGGCTGCTGGTGGCCCTGCTGTTGGCACCCACAGCAGGGCTGGCACGGAGCCCTGGGGGTGGGCGGTTTAATTCCCAGACCCCTTGCACAACCCCACGGGCTGGTGCTGTCCTGACCATGCCCCCAGGGGACTGCAACCGCCCCCCAGCTCCGGGGGTGCCAGACTGGGAAACAAAACAGCCGGGGTGCCACTGGGCTACAGCAACCTGGCAGCTGGGGCAGGGTCCCGAGGGGAAGATGGGGAGCAAGCTGAGATGGGGGGGAATGACCCACCACCCACCTGCACTGGACTGGGAAGCACTGGGAGGTGAGAGTTGTGCCCTGGGGGTGTTTAGGGCCATTGCCCCTCTCGTGGTGCACTGGAGGGGTTGCCAGATTTGACCCACCCTCCCCTAGGGACCCCACCACGGGGGTCTGGGGCTCCAGTGGGGCAACAGCCGATGGGAGCAGAGGCCTGACCCAGGTTCATGGCAGCACAGCACACCTTTGACTGCCTGGGATGGGGCCTCCATTAGCCTAATAATTAATTAGCTATCAGCCTGGTAAATAATTAGACATCAGCCTGCAGCCCAGCACCAGCTGGAGTGGCATCATCCCGTGGGACACCCAGGGTGAGGTGGGTGCCAGGGCTGTGGCAGGGGGGCTGCTGCCAGCTGTCCCAGACACCCCAGGGGGGTGATGGTAGCTGTCCCAGATACCCCAGGGGATGATAGTGGCCCTGGCAGCCTCCCCCACAGTGTCCCCCCCAGGCAGGCAGGTGGCACCAGCTCTATTAGACATATTTATTTCTGTACACACTTATACA